GCATCTGAATGTACGCACAATGCGCTACTGACTTTAGACCAGGTTTTTTCTGTTCAGTGGCGCAAATGTTTTCTGGAACTGCAAAATAGCACTAGAGAATGTTTGCGCAGAAACACGGCTCCTTTTTTGCGCCGACCCGCCCAGGGAGTGCAAGTTCCTATTTACCGACGTGCTTCTGTGGAGGTAAAAGCCCGCTTTGCGCGGGTGCCAAATAGGAATGATAAATGCGTCGTGTGCAAAGTCATCTCGCCGGGTGCAAGATAGGGCCCATTGCTTTTAAAGCCAACTAACTCACTCTATGAAGTGCTTTCTTCGTGACTACTTTAGGGGGTCGTTGACATTATTAGTCCTAGTATTTTAATATCCTTTTATCTTATGGTACTGTGCCATCATTTGGGAAGCATGACATTGTTGAAACAATTTACAAAAGACGATCCTGGATCCACAGGTTTTTAAAAATGTCAGGTCTATTTCAAAACTTCCTTTTATAAATAAAATCTTAGAGAAAGACGTTCAAGTTTTTTTATTACTGGAAATAATGTTATGGATATTTTAGGACTAAACATAGCACAGAGTCAGCTTTATTGGAGGTTGCTAATAATTTTTTGTATTGCCTCCAGGAAAGGTGTTGCTTTAATGTTGAGCAACAACATGAATCCTTTTTCTTTTTTTCTTTTTTAAATAGAAAGCCTTAGATATTGTGTAGGTATCAAGGGTGTGGCCCTTGAATGGTTCTCTTATCTGCAGGACAGGACATGCTCAGTTAAGATTGGAAACTATGTTTCTGCATCAGCAACTATCTCTTGGGGGCTCCCAACTCTGTTCTATATGCTGCCCCTAAGGGTCAAACTTTAGTACTTTCCTTTATAGTTTGACTGTATATTCTTTATTCATTTTCATAAGTGTTTGACTGGGGTGAAGGGGTGTTTGCAAGTCATTACATCCTACAACTAAATAAGGATAATTACTGAGTTTATTTTGTTTGGGAATAAACAGCCCAAACATCACCAAACATCTCAGTCAGTCCAAAAGGACTGACTGAGAGTTATGGACTACTGTCTAGTAAAATGCAGATTTATGTAATAAACTTGGGAGTAATTTTCTATTCTGATCTCCGTTTTGATTGTCATTTAAACAGAGTCTAAGCTGTGAAAATTTAAAGTTGTGAAAATTGTCTACTGAAACATATTCTTTGAAGCCAGGATTTGGAGACTGTTGTGCATGCTTTCATTTCCACATGGCTGGATTATTGTAATGCTTTATATTTAGGCATAAGTGAAGACTTGGTGGCACTTCGGTATGCCCAAAATGCTGCAGCAAGACTTTTAACTAATCCCAGGAAAAGGGATCATATAACACCTGTGTTAATATCTCTTCATTGGCTACCTGTAAAATACAATACAAGGTAATGTTTGTTTACGAAGCACTGCATGATCAGTACAGTGAGGAAAATAAGTATTTGAACACCCTGCTATTTTGCAAGTTATCCCACTTAGAAATTATGGAGGAGTCTGAAATTGTCATCGTAGGTGCATGTCCACTGTGAGAGACATCTAAAAAAAATCCAGAATCACAATGTATGATTTTTTTAAAACTATTTATTTGTATGATACAGCTGCAAATAAGTATTTGAACACCTGAGAAAATCAGTGTTAATCTTTGGTATAAGTAGCCTTTGTTTGCAGTTACAGAGGTCAAACGTTTCCTGTAGTTCTTCACCAGGTTTGCACACACTGCAGGAGGGATTTTGGCCCACTCCTCCACACAGATCTCTTTTTTAGATCAGTCGGGTTTCTCGGCTGTCGTTGAGAAACAAAGAGTTTGAGCTCCCTCCAAAGATTCTCTATTGGGTTTAGGACTGAAGACTGGCTAGGCCATGCAAGAACCTTCATATGCTTCTAACAGAGCCACTCCTTGGTTATCCTGGCTGTCTGCTTCGGGTCATTGTCATGTTGGAAGACCCAGACTCGACCTATCTTCAATGCTCTAACTGAGGGAAGGAGGTTGTTCCCCAAAATCTCGCAATACATGGTCCCGGTCATCTTCTCCATGACATCTACAGTGCAGTCGTCGCCCTGTCCCATGTGCAGAAAAACACCCCCAAAGCATGATGCTACCACCCCCATGCTTCACAGTAGGGATGGTGTTCTTGTGATGGTACTCATCATTCTTCTTTCTCCAAACACGGTGAGTGGAATTATGACCAAAAAGTTCTATTTTGGTCTCATCTCAACATGACTTTCTCCCATGACTCCTCTGGATCATCCAAATGGTCATTGGCAAACTTAAGACGGGCCTTGACGTGCTGGTTTAAGCAGGGGAACCTTCCGTGCCATGTATGATTTCAAACCATGACGTCTTAGTGTATTACCAACAGTAACCTTGGAAACGGTGGTCCCAGTTCTTTTCAGGTCATTGACCAGCTCCTCCTGTGTAGTTCTGGGCTGATTTCTCACTTTTCTTAGGATCATTGAGACCCCACGAGGTGAGATCTTGCATGTAGCCCAAGTCCGAGGGAGATTGACAGTCATGTTTAGCTTCTTCCATTTTCTAATGATTGCTCCAGTGGAACACGGATTGCTCTTTCACCAAGCTGCTTGGCAATTTCCCCGTTGCCCTTTCCAGCCTTGTGGAGGTGTACAATTTTGTCTTGAGTGTCTTTGGACATCTCTTTGGTCTTGGCCATGTTAGTAGTTGGATTCTTATTGATTGAATGGGGTGGACAGGTGTCTTTATGCAGCTAATGACCTCAAACAGGTGCATCTAATTTAAGATAATAAATGGAGTGGAGGTGGACATTTTAAAGGCAGACTAACAGGTCTTTGAGGGTCAGAATTCTAGCTGATAGACAGGTGTTCAAATACTTATTTGCAGCTGTATCATACAAATAAATAGTTAAAAAGTCATATATTGTGATGTCTGGATTTTTTTGTTAAGATTATGTCTCTCTCAGTGGACATGCACCTATGATGACAATGTCCTCCATGATTTCTAAGTGGGAGAACTTGCAAAATAGCAGGGTGTTCAAATACTTATTTTTCTCACTGTATATAAAAGAAAGATATATCAGACTCTTCCTTTCCTCTCAGAGTATTTGTTTAACTGGCCCATAATCGCATTTGAGGCATAGTGGAGATCGCACCTTTACTGTTGCAGCTCCTGCACTCCTAATGAACTCCCCTTCTATATAAAATCCTATATGGTATGGACAGTATCGACACTATCAAAAGTGATCTAATGGCACTTTCAAAAGTGATCTAATGACTGACTTATTTCATCTGGCTTTTGGTGCTTGATTAGGTCTGATAATTGTAAGTAATTTGCTGTATGGTGGATGACTTGATTGTGATTTATTGTTGTTTTATGTTTGTAATGTTTATGCTATTTATGTACATCACTTAGTTTGGTCGATTCTTATGGTTTTGAAAGTGTTTAATAAATAACATTTGAGCTGAGTTGAGTTGATGTGCACAACTTTCATTGAATAAATTTACATAGTGATTTGGGGATGCGTACATTTTTTCCACTACTTAACATTTTTGATACAGGTGGGTAAATGTTTTGCACCAAATTCATTGCAGAAACTGTAGCAAAAAAGTGAGTCCATGGGTTTCATAATGTTTGTTATTCATAAAATAGAATTGGTGCACCTGCAATGATTAGAGTAACTTTTGTGTTGTATTTGTGGAAGAGAGAAAGAGAGAAAAAACTATGTTTGCATAACTTTGCAACTCCTGAAATTCTCGGTGACTTGAAATTTACTGATACGCGTGGTATTCTCTACAACTACACATTCCATTTTTTTTTAGTAATACTTTAAAAGAATATGGTAGTAGTCAGCAAAAGCAGAGAGGTTGGTGTGTGAACTTTAATCACTGTTACATACTGGAAAATCCCTTAGCATTCAGTGCTCTCCTCTGTTGAGGAGTTCTTCCCTAATGTAAAAAAAAAAAAAAAAAAAAAAACATAAATTAGTGAACCCATACTTGAAAGTGGGTCATTCATGATAAAGTCATGATATTACTTTTTAAAAGATCTCATTAATAACATTGCATATAAACAATTTATATTATTAATTGTAATATAATATAATATATTAATATTATTAAGCAATCTCACAGCCTTGTGAGCAAGAGCATATGAGAAAGGCATGAAACTGCTTTTTTTCCAGTCGAACTGATCTTATTTTCTTACAGTTTAGAAAATATTAAGTTATGAAGTTATAAGTTTGTTAAAGTTGACAATTTACATTACTAAAACAGTTCCACTCATCGTTTACCTGCATGGACTGCCCAAACATGACAAACTTATGAATCAGAAAATTATTAAAGTTTTAAAATATAAAACATTTCAACTCTATAATGACATTTTACATTAAATGTGTAAAAATGACAATTTAAAGATATAATTAAGCAATAAAATAAAAAATGTTTCCCTCAATATACAGAAACAGCTGACCATTACGATTGTAGCAACATGTTAAGTCATGCTAGAAACATGTTAGCAATGTCTTAAAACATGTTATCAACATATTAAATCATGCAAACAGTTATAGCAATGTGCTAAACAAGCTAATTGCCATATTAAATGTTAACAATGCCTATATCTGCATGTTTTTTTACTGCATCGATATAACCATCACATTTTAAACTTTACTTTAAACTTTCAGAACTATATTTTCACGATTACATTTATATATTCAGAGTTTTAACTATATGGGGATTACGTTTATATATTCAGAGTTATAACTAAATATTCAGGATTACGTTTATATATTTAAAGTTTTAACTATATATTCAGGATTTACATTTATATATTCAGATTTATTCAGATTTTTGTGAAAACCATTGTAATTTGGCCGTGCGCATTCCGAGTCGTTTTACCAACATGGGGCACATAAAAAAATTCCAACATTTAAACTAAAGGAAATCACTTCAATGTTTTTTGTGATTGTGATATCATTTTGCAAACTTTTTTCTCTTTATCTGTATTTTGTTTAGGTGTTGATCCCAATGCTGACTACCCTACTCTCTATCGCTACTTTGTGGAGGTGTGGATATATCTTGGTCTGGCATGGCTCTCCCTTTTCTTCAATTGGAAGGTGCGCATGGTTGTGGAGGCACACAAAGCTCTAAAGAAGCGCCGTAAAAGGCGCAAACTTTCTCTGGATGAGTTAAAGTGCATCAAAAAAAGTCACAAGACTCTACACCTGCCACCTACCCCTAATGAAGCCAACATCTTCAGCTTCCTGTCCAAGAAAAAAGAAGATTACAATGACTTAATCAAGCAGATAGGTGTCGAGAAGGAAGGAGAAGATCAATGTGTCAGCTCCATCACTGGTAGCAGGAATAAAGCACCAAAACGCTCAAAGAGCTGCTATGATTCTCTTTCAGTAAAAGGAAATTCCATCCTCAGTCTAGACCGCTCCCCTCGACAGAAGCGCCGCTTCAGCTTCAGTGATAGAGTTGCTGTAGCCCTCTCAAAATCCAAGGGTTACCTTCTTAACAAAGAGGAATGTCTACTCATGAATGAAATGCATGGGGGAGGAGGGATAGACACTGACCTAAACTGTATGAGAAGCTATGAGAATCAATTGGACAAGGAGGAAGGAGAGAACCAAGAAGGTCTAGAACCTGCAGGCTGCGGTAATGGCCGGATCACGTTGGACTCCAAAGTTAACCAGATCCTCATGTTTCCCAATGCTAACATCACCTTCATTGATGAGGAGAATTTGCTGAACAACCTGGAGGATGATGATGATAATGACTTTCTGAAATCTGTCTCATCTGAAGCTGAGAATTTAGACATAAAGGAACAGGGCTCAGAATCAGAGACCTCTGTATTCACCACAGATGGGTCAGACCATGACCACTTCTATGAGCAGCTAGCGGAAGAGTATTCCAAAGAGGACAATACTGACATTTGATCCTGTCTCATCAAGGATTTGGTCTAGGATTCTCTCTAGGATTTGGTCTTCTTCTATCTAAAACCGTATGATTTTTTTTTTTTTCATGAACTTGAATTGGTGTAAACTATAAAATGGAAGTTATTTGTCACAATCCATTTCCATCTGTCTTCTAATGTGAGCAGACAATGTGATTTACATTATTATTACTGTTGTTTTTTAAGGATTTTGCTAGTGGGACAACAGACTTAAGTCTTACTTTGAACTGACATTAAAATTAAAAACCAATTATATAAATGAACGAACATGGGCAGCTGTTGGCATAGAGATGTATATCAATAGCTGACTTTTGCATTGGCTCTAGACTTGATTAGGTTTTTATTTATTGTAGCGTTTCTTCTTAAATTGTCTGACCTGCAGGGGTCTCATGATTCATTGTGAACCAGTTCACTGACAATATAGATTATTGATAGTAAAATAATATAGATTAAGATGTTTGCATGTTTTTTCACCATGTTGGTGAATTATTTTTAAGATGGAAAGGAAAAAAGCTTAATCCTTATTGGATGTTAAACCATATATTTTATTGTCTTCCATTTTAGTCTGAAATATTGATTTTGGGTAACCATATTGGCCTGTTGTTTTAACTTGGGATTTATTTATGAGATAATGTCATTTTACTTTTTTTTTATTCCAAGTCTTTTGTTTATGCATACATTGTTTTAATGTTCCTGAAATGTGTTGTTAACTCCTTTCCAAAGATAATCACAATATTTTTGGTTTTCTGAACTGGTAATACTGTCAATACAATCAGATGATCCACACTAAAATACTCTATCGACCTCCCTCAATGTGTCACTGTCAAGTAGATGATAGTTGAATCAGTCAACATTAGAAATGAGAAACCAATTGTTATTACAGTGTTCGTTTTACTAACATAACCACCGTTTTGGTGTCTGACTCATTTGTTGACATGCTAATTCTTTGTTGATATTTAACCAGCATACTGACAAAGTAACCATTACAATACACTAATCAAAAAAGAAAGATCCTGATTGTGGTTCCCTCTCCTGAGCTCTAGCCATGTGTGTTCTCACACTGTCATGCCACTGAGTGCCCCTGGTGTGTAGAGCTGCATCCTGAGTCTGTTTCCTGTTTGTAGTTGGAATTGTTGTTTGTATTTTTTGTTTTTCAAGTGTGTTATAGGAGCGATCTCTCTTAATCTCATTTTGGCTTTCTTTAAAAGTTTTTTTTTTTTTTTTAACTTCCCATATTCATTGAAATATATGCATTTAGTGCTGTGTATATCATGTAAGTACATTTTGCACCAATTTGTGTTTCTTCTAATGAGGCCCTTTAATGTTGCATTTTGTTATAGGCAAGGTTTGTTATAAGTAGCCACTGTTTCCCCAGCTACATTTTAACCAGAGCTTTCTTTCATTCTCAGTGTGCAGTCTCTCATTTGAGAGAACAGTGTGTTTGCTATGTAAACATTGAAAAAGTAACTATCATTGTTGTTCTCCTGTAGTCTCGGTTCAATTAGCTATGAGCAAAATTTGGCATGAATAGATGACCAGAATTTCAATTGACTTCAGTGACCAAGTGTTAACTAACCTGAGGTTAACCTGCCAAGTCGTGGTTTTGGTTTTTGTTCATGCAAATGTTCGCCCCATTCTTTCACAGAAAAGGTATTTCTACTCTCCAAGTGATGTAAAGGTTAAAGTGCTTTGGATTTCTTTTCTTTTTTTTCATGTTATGCTTTGAATTTCCTGTACTTTGTAATCTCCATATTGTAATTGCTCCCTGGTGGTGCTTGCTGTTTAGATGATCTCTATATGGATTTGAATGTTGGACTGAATGAGAATTTTTCATTTGAAATAAACCAATTTCTGCCTTGTTCTTTTTCCCTCTTTAATCAACCATTGAGCAGTGGTTTTAGAAAGATACTTGGACTTATTTGAAGCAAAATTCCTTTGAAAGGAAATGTGAAAAAATGCATAACATTTGTGTGTATTTTCATGAATTTTACGCCAGCCTAAATTGATAAATACATTTGATTGTTTTGCTAACATTGTTCAATGGAAATAAAACATCTACACACCCTTGTTAAAACTATCTGAAAGCAAAATAAAAAAGGTAATTGCGTCTTTTTAACAATTTTGACTTTTTATCCCAGAACTCCATGATATAAACTTGCAATTGTGAATTATAAAGTCCAATTTTGTGAAAAAAAGTCAGAATTGCGAGGTAAACCCGAAATATAAATAATTATTCAGGGTACCCCCATAGACATAACGAATTAAGAGATGTTTGTTCGAGAAGCCAACATATATGGCCATTATAGGCTACTATTTAAAATGATTAATTGTATTCATCCTTCTCCTAAGACTACGTTTTTGACTGCTACTCCTAGAGCTTTAATACAAGTACAAAACTGTGCTCTGACTGGCAGGCACAGACAAAGAGCCGATGGAACCGGGCGACTCTGAAGGCTTTCAGAGGCCGCAACGGAGCTGCAGCGATGATCCTGGACATAAGTCTCTTATTAATAATCCACATAGGCAAATATGAAGGCAAAGCATAGATATAGACATATGCACTTAATGTCAAATGCAGAAAAATCACTTAATCACTTAAAATTCATGATATCAAGGCTAGATTATTATGATGCTTTACTGGATGGTTGCCCTGCAGGGTTAATAAACAAACTCCAGCTGGCCCAAAAAGGAACAGTATGCCAATATATTACCATGCCAATATGCCAATTAACAATGTTAAGGTTAACACTGGTATCCCTTAATTTGTTCCTATTAAAGATTCTTTCATCTATTTGGATAATAATAAAAACATCCTTAAGATTGCCAGAGACCATTTTAAAAACATTCAAGTCAAGGTCAAGAGTGATACTCAAAGATGGAATATCATTTTATAAAAGTCTCTCTTCAAGTTAGAATCTCCACACTCAAAATGAATTTGTTTCCTCGGCTCAATTTTCTTGTTTCTATGCTGTCGCTTCCCCCCCTCCAGCTTATAAGGAGATACTTTAATACTTTCTCAGTTTATCTGGAATAAACGACCCGGAATTAAACTTGCCATATTGCAGCATTCTTTACTTTCAGGAGGATTGGCTGTGCCAAATCTGAAATTATATTATTGGTCGTTCCAACTTAAGGCTAGTCGTACTTGGGTTAATCCTCTAAAGTTTCATGGAGAGTTATTGAATAGGACAAGGTTAAACCACATAGGCTCCAAGACCAAGTTATTGGTCCAAGACCAAGTAAATAAAATTATAAATATAAATTCGGCCCGGTTGTGGCCAATTCTATTAGGATCTGGAAAAGAGTTGAACGTATGATGGAAGGACCTTTCAAATTTTGTAACAACACACCCTTATGACACAACTTTATTTTTTTGTGTGGAAATCGGTCATTTGTCCAGCCCTCTTATAGTCTTCACTAGCCATAAACACATGCAGTGAGTTATGTAATAACCAGGGACTCTGCTCACTTCAGGAGCTATTAACTAAGTTTTGTTTACCAGCATTGTCCTTCAGTTTCTCTGCTCTCAAGGCGTGGAGTTCCCAGGTCATCCCCCTTTTCATCTCATCCTATGTGTGATTGATTCGGACCGTACAGTGTGAGCACATAAATCCTGAACTTTGGCTTTGCATCGCATGCGATTTACTCGTTCAGTGTGAGTAGGTACCTTGCTGAAATCGCACAGACATCGCACAGTGTATGCCCGCCTTTAGCGATGTACGAAGAACGGGCCCCAGGTTTACTCCGCGCATGTGTGCAAAAACATTTCAAATTCATAGCCTCCTTGAAATTGTGACTTGACAGTCAAAATTAATTTGTTACCTCGGCAAAATTTTCTTTTTTCCACCCTCCAAGTTACTTTAGGGAGATCAACAGCACGAATTAACAAGGCTAAACCAAGTACCATTGATGCATATAGTGCTGAGAACAGGCTTGCTGAGAACAACCCTTTTATGTGTGCGAGTTATAAAGAAGTTATCAAATAAAGATGAAAAACCACACTCTCATATATATTTATCTCATTATTTGATGACACACATTGATGATGGCTTAAACGTGTCTGTGTGGACATGGTATTAAAGAGTGTGTGGACATGAGATATAACTAGAGAGCGCGGTTTTTCATCTTTAATGTTTTCTTTCAACATAAAATTATATAAAAGAATGACCATATAAACCTTTTTTCCTTCCCCTTTTCTTTCAGATTGTTAAATTATTGATAATATATCTGTTGCTCCACCTTTTGCCTGTTTGTTTGTTTGTTTGTTTGTTTGTTTGTTCAGGTGAAGACAGGTATATTTCACATGAGCTTGGTGATTTGTTAATTCTGAACACGGCCACATTCATTATATGAGTGTGCACACTTATGCAGTTAGGTTATTGTTATTTTAGTTTTTTTGTTATTTACGTTTTTATTTTAATTCTTTTTCAGTATCACTGTTTTCAGCATAGTTTGTATTTTTTACATTAAAGGTGCAAAAGTTCTGATTTGATTCACCTTTGTTTCATTTTTTACAATTCAAAAACCAGCTGTTTTAACAGGGGTGTAGACTTTGTATATCCACTGTAAAATGTAAAACTGAAGTGTTAAACTCTTAAAGTCCCATTTAAGGTCAAAATTTTGCAACTCCTCATAATTTCAACCAAGCATGTCCATCTTGCAGGATGAGCTCTATAATCTCTTCTATTTTATGGCCTTGTAAAATTATAAACCTTTGTCTTTTCCACGTCATAACATTCTCGCAATTGTTCTCTGTGTGAATTCTATTTCTAAAACAAAAGCCCACTTGTTTAAACTTAATGGTCATGAGGAAGGGATGTGACAATGGGAACGTTTGTTTGCGTGATACAACATCAAGGTATTTATTAGTCACGATATTTCGGTACAGGAAAAGTTTCTACTGAATTGTAAAACAGTCTTGCTTCATAAAGACACTCCTCAGAAGTCATAAAAGTTCACAAACAAGGTGATAAAAAGGTTACTTCACATGGAATGATAAAAAGTATTCCAATGTAACAGTACAAGTAAATAATAGATTCTGATTGGCTGTCAATGTTTGTTTTTTTAATCAGCTGAAATAATTCCATCATTATTGTTGTTGTGTGGACCCTGCTATTCTTTTATATTTAGAACTATTTTCAGAACTATATCTGTGTATCGTTATCGTTATAGTTATCGTTCTCTGTGTAAAGGGGCCTAAAAAAATTTACATTTCTCAGTTCAAGTTTCTTAGAGATCCTGGTTATTCCAGACTCCACTAAACTTCAAATCCCATATAAACATCCATCTAATTAAAAAAAAAATCTTCTATTTTGTTATATACTGATGAATTACAAACCCAATTCCATAAAAGTTGGGACACTGTACAAATTGTGAATAAAAACAGAATGCAATGATGTGGAAGTTTCAAATTTCAATATTATATTTAGAATACAACATAGATGACATATCAAATGTTGAAAGTGAGACATTTTGAATTGCCATGCCAACTATTGGCTCCTTTTGGATTTCATGAGAGCTACAAATTTCAAAAAAGTTGGGACAGGTAGCAATAAGAGGCCAGAAAAGTTAAATGTACATATAAGGAACAGCTGGAGGACCAATTTGCAACTTATTAGGTCAATTGGCAACATGATTGGGTATAAAAAGAGCCTCTCAGAGTGGCAGTGTCTCTCAGAAGTCAAGATGGGCAGAGGATCACCAATTCCCCCAATGCTGAGGCAAAAAAATAGTGGAGCAATATCAGAAAGGAGTTTCTCAGAGAAAAATTGCAAAGAATTTGAAGTTATCATCATCAACAGTGCATAATATCATCCAAAGATTCAGAGAATCTAGAACAATCTCTGTGCATAAGGGTCAAGGCCGGAAAACCATACTGAATGCCCGTGATCTTCGGGCCCTTAGACGGCACTGCATCACACACAGGAATGCTACTGTAATGGAAATCGCATCATGGGCTCAAGAATACTTCCAGAAAACATTGTCAGTGAACACAATCCACCGTGCCATTCACCGTTGCCGGCTAAAGCTCTATAGGTCAAAAAAGAAGCCATATCTAAACGGGAACCAGAAGCGCAGGCGTTTTCTCTGGGCCAAGGCTCATTTCAAGTAGACTCTAGCAAAGTGGAAAACTGTTCTGTGGTCAGACGAATCAAAATTTGAAGTTCTTTTTGGAAAACTGGGACGCCATGTCATCCGGACTAAAGAGGACAAGGACAACCCAAGTTGTTATCAGCGCTCAGTTCAGAAGCCTGCATCTCTGATGGTATGGGGTTGCATGAGTGCGTGTGGCATGGGCAGCTTACACATCTGGAAAGGCACCATCAATGCTGAAAGGTATATCCAAGTTCTAGAACAACATATGCTCCCATCCAGACATCGTCTCTTTCAGGGAAGACCTTGTATTTTCCAACAAGACAATGCCAAACCACATACTGCATCAATTACAACATCATGGCTGCGTAGAAGAAGGATCTGGGTACTGAAATGGCCAGCCTGCAGTCCAGATCTTTCACCCATAGAAAACATTTGGCGCATCATAAGGAAGGTGGAAGATGGAAGAGGAAGATGCAACAAAGAAGACCTAAGACAGTTGGGCAGCTAGAAGCCTTTATTAGACAAGAATGGGACAACATTCCTATTCCTAAACTTGAGCAACTTGTCTCCTCAGTCCCCAGACGTGTGCAGACTGTTATTAAAAGAAGAGGGGATGCCACACAGTGGTAAAAATGGCCTTGTCCCAACTTTTTTGAGATGTGTTGATGCCATGAAATTTAAAATCAACTTATTTTTCCCTTAAAATTATGCATTTTCTCAGTTTAAACATTTGATATGTCATCTATGTTGTATTCTAAATATAAT